TGGTATGTTATTTGAATATTCCTGCTAGACAACCCTATCAGTTTAAATTTACAGCTTGATTAGTGGCGATAATTGTGGGCGATCCATTTTTGTAACCAATCCTTAGGTTCATCTCACCAGCTCTAACACGTTCATCTAATTGTTGTTTGAGCTTCCGATACTCTTGGACTTGCTGAGTAGTCTTGTCTTCCCTAATTGACAGATGTTTGAGATTGTTATGTGTTCTGAGCTTATTTGAGTTGTGTAGGATATCGTTTGCTAAGTTACTTGAGCTGCATACCACCTTTATTGGCCTATTCTTGCCAGGAATCACTCTCCCCAAGCGAAATACTTGAAGATCAGCTACAGCTGCCCGCCCGAGGCAGTGGTCAGTCACACTACTAGCTACCTCATTGATGTTGGTAGTCAACTCTGGGCAATATAAATCATAATACCAGATTTAAAGGGTTTTGACTAAAATTGAACAAATATGAAGTATCAAATTATTCAACAATGTTTTTCAAAGATATTTAAACATTATTATTAGAAGATTAACATAACAAGTCAGAAGATATTTAAATATTATTTTGGAAATGACTGCGCAAACGTCCTGTCGTTTTAATTATTCATTTACACAACTTGCATTCTGATTTCTGAAGATTAACAAAATTCACCTTTTCAAGTCATTATGTTGGAAATTGTAGGTCTGTTCCAACCGACATGAGAACCATTCCAGAACCAGTAATTTCCAGTTGCACGCCTATTTTTCAATGAGTTCATCCTACTTGACAAATGAATTGATCAACTGGAAATTATACCGTTCTAGAACGGTTCTCATGTTGGTTGAAACAGAACTACAGTTTCTAACATAATATGATGATTATTTAAACTTGAATACCTACTTAAAAGAGTAAATTTTGTTTACTTAACCAAAATTAAGAATTTGTTGCACTACGACCCCTACACGTCCTTATTGAAAGTGGGAACAAAACTGCCAAAATTAAAAAATAGTAAACAACTTCGAATTGGGGCGAGAAAGTTTCTCTCAGTCTCCTCACCACGATCCGTAGTCCAGTTCGCGCGTACCAGGCCCGACTGACACCAAGGGTACAGTTCTTTTCAATCCCGCAAATCCCGGCGGGATCCTGGTCAGTTTATGAGCGAGATCAGTCCCGCATATGGCGTGCGGGATCGCGGTATTTCGGGACCCTGGTATTGTATTCACTAGTTCAGAGTAAAAAATGGTTATTCAATCAATCAAATATCTACAATTCCATGTTTTTCGTGTACGTTTTTCTTTTGATATTGCGTTTTCAAGGGTTAGTTTGTTACAAATGCATAGAGTGACACATCATTTTCCTACGAGCGTGTGGAAAACGCGTTTTCACGCACTGATTTGCGTGCGGAAAGAACCACTTTTCCGCACGGCGTGCGCGAAAAAAGTTTTTCACGCAAGCTGTGCCCGAGGAAAGTTTTTCACGCACTGATATTATTTATTTTATTTTTTTTAATTTGTGTCTTCATGTCATGCTTCTCAAAAATTTTAGATCTTTTTGAAATTCCTCCATCGGAAAAATGTTGTACCTAACACGAGCGTAAAGTATCTTTTCCGCACTTACGGCTTGCACGAACTCCGCTGGCGCGTCGTTTGTGCAAACGCCGTTGCTTGCGGAAAAGTATAACTTTCAACTTGTGAGGTAAATAACTATTTTAAGAGAAAATAAAGGCGAACTTTTTGAGATCAAAAAATTCAGGGTGTCCCATTTAAAAAATACTAAGTTTAAGCCTTGGTTTAAGCTATATCTTGAAAAAGGTTGGTCTACACATTTTTTTGACTACAACACTGGATTCTATGTAAAAATTAATATCTATATCACCAAATTTGTTTTATCTTCCAGGGTGTCCGAAATATGATACCACCACAAAAAGCGCAAAACCTCTTTACCACCCTATATCTCAGGAATGAAACAAGCTGGCACAATAGGGTACTTGCATGGAAAATTAAATTCATTATTGTTTATTGCAAACTGTGGGAAATCGAAAAAAAATTGTCACACACACAAATATGATTATTCCGGTAGTTATACAAATATTAAGTTTTGTATATATAGATATACTCAGCATGGAGTGACGTCATAGAGTCATAGGATATTTAAAATAAGCACATTTCAAAGCGTTGTATTTCCGTCAATTTTTGACTAAGAAGAAAAAGAAAAAACACGTGTTGACTTATTTTTCATGGACTATCGAAATCAACAATAAAAAAATTTGATGCAAGGGGCCTATTATGTTTGCAGCATTCAAAGTTTCACCAAAAACTGATAGAGGGTCCTGAAAACCGCAAAGTTCTATCTCTGATGGTTACCAAGAAACCCTGTGATTTGGGAGACTGTGTCCTACATAATGCAGATATAGATATGAATATTTTTATTTCGGAAGTTCGGTTGACACAAAATATATATTCAAGTACAGTCGTAAGCATTAGGTAAAAGTGGGACCCAAGACTGACAGGGCTTGTCATTTTTCGCTATTTTGGGTAAATCAGTCTTTTCTGTACAAGAGATTTTTTGTCAAATAATGACAATCCTGTCACTGCCGATGGTATAGCTGGTGAGCCCCTTTTGCAATGGAAATATCGGATATCCCATTTTTAATGCTCATGACTGTACCTCAGATTATCAAGGTCTTTGGGTCTTTACATTCGATCAGTTAATTCAGAGCTTGGATATTTGCGACTTTGATATTCAGAGTTCTACTGCAATTCATTGGTACCACATATGCAATCTAAATTCTAGTTTGTATTTTAATTTAGGAGTCCAGGGCTGGAACTCTGTAACGGATTAAGGATTGTTATCCCTATCGCTATGGCACTTGCTGTCTTCTTCTTTCTTGTCGAAATCAATAGAGAGGAGACGTCAATAGAGATAGAGAAAATATCTCTATTCGTTACAGAGTTCCAGCCCTGGTGTACCTACATATTATTTAGTCCATAAGGAATAACGATTTTTTTTTTTAAATGGATAATAATGCAGTCGAGTATTATGTAGAACTTGATTTAAATCAGCAGTAGCAACACAACGAAATATTAAACAGACACAAAATATGGGTTTGAACTTCCTTAGGAATACCTCCTATACCTTAATACCTACCCTACCAGCCACATTCCACAATAATTTAAATTTCAAAGCAAACCTAAATTAAGTAGGTACGTATTTCCCTAAATCTAAATATTGTACATATATAAAGTACTGGTTCGATATTGATTACCAAAGAAATGAACATTGATAATATTATTGTTTCAAGACTACTATGCTAGATAATTACATACTTGCAGGGTGTTGTGTTTGGGTTCTGGACCTCAACACTTTTGCCTCGTGAAAACTGACCTTCCCAATTAAAAACCCAACAGTATAATGTAAAATAAAATAAAACCAAGTACTTACCTATTAGTTTATAGTCTTTTGGATAAAAAATTCGCAAATATATCACTTCAATTACACAAAATTCAATATAAACGAACGTCGGATTCGCAAAGCGACGCCATTTTATAAAATTGCTTTTTCGCATCAAATGATGGCCGAAGCGAAGCCGCGGTGTTGCCGTCCACACAATATTTGGGGAATTTTTATTTAGAAAAGGTAAACTTTAGTTTACAATCAATTACAGGCAAGAATCTATTGGTTAAAATTATTTAATTTGTGGTTTTTCAATTTTATAAAATATAGTGTATAATTAAATATTATAAATAAATATTGTAAATTTCAAACTATCTTTTAAATCAGGCGCCAAATCCTGTGTCAAACTTTTGTTGCTAGGCTGCGTTCAGATTGAACGTCGGTTGTCGCCCGAGCGCGCTCTGACGGTTCAGATTGCCTTGGGTAAAATTTACCCAGCCGTTCAGATTGTCAGTAGATTTTTACCTGGGGCGCGTTCAGATTGAAGAGTCTGGGCGACGTCCAGTGCAGAGCGTACCCGATAGAGAGTGCACTCCGAGTGTGCCTGGCGATTCGCCAAATCTGAACGGCCAAAACGCATTCTCTCCTCATAACATCACTATTTATGGGATGCTTTGATTTTGATTTTGTTGCCTTTTCAAAATTCACTGTGTTCGTGATTCTAACATTTTTGTAAAATAAGAAAAAAGAAAATTCAAAGATAATCAACTCTTATTTTATTTTATTTTGATTTTTTTGGTAGAACTTATCACATATAAAATAATACCTCTTAACCCCTAATTCTTATTTTAATTTATTTCCTATTTTATTTTATTTGTTGGATAAACTCGCCATAACTCCCAACAATAATATTTACAATATTTGCCTTTATTATTGGTTAGAACATAAACATAACACAAACGCGCATGCGGGGCAAACTTTATCTTACTATTTTATGGGATGCAATAGTGTGCGTCGGGGTGTCGTCAGGTAAAAATCTACTGGCTGCGTTCAGGAATAGCTACAGCCAAGCCAAAATTGGCATTTTGCGTTCGAGTTCGTCTCCGACCTACGTGGTTCGGCATTACCGGTGGAGGGGGAAAAGTAGGTTTTGGCATTAGCATTGCCGTCTTTGAACGTACCCCAGACAATCTGAACGGCTGGGTAAATTTTACCCAAAGCAATCTGAACGGTCAGAGCGCGCTCGGGCGACAACCGACTTTCAATCTGAACGCAGCCCTGACGACACCCAGACGCACACTTTTGCATCCTATAAAATAGTAAGATAAAATTTGCCCCCCATGCGCGTTTGTGTTATGTTTATGTTCTAACCAATAATAAAGGCAAATATTGTAAATATTATTGTTGGGAGTTATGGCGAGTTTATCCAACAAATAAAATAAAATAGGAAATAAATTAAAATAAGAATTAAGGGTTAAGAGGTATTATTTTATATGTGATAGTTCTACCAAAAAAAATCAAAATAAAATAAAATAAGAGTTGATTATCTTTGAATTTTCTTTTTTCTTATTTTACAAAAATGTTAGAATCACGAACACACAGTGAATTTTGAAAAGGCAACAAAATCAAAATCAAAGCATCCCATAAATAGTGATGTTATGAGGAGAGAATGCGTCTTGGCCGTTCAGATTGGGCGAATCGCCAGGCACACTCGGAGTGCACTCTCTATCGGGTACGCTCTGCACTGGACGTCGCCCAGACTCTTCAATCTGAACGCGCCCACACGTTGCTTGTAGGTTAATGCCAGCTTGGGTGCTTCGGTCACACTTGCCAAATTCTCAAAAGCCGAGAAAAAAGAAGACGATAACCTAACCCGGCTTCTGTTTTGTGAGTGGTTTTGTGTTTTGCTAGTTTTTATTTTATTATTTTTTCTGATTATTTTAATTTTTCCAAAAACCAAAATGTTATAAAATTAAAATATAATACAGATTACACATTACGGTTTTTGCTTTCACTTTGAAAAATATCCTCATTTGCCAGCACAATGTTGTCCATAGGACCGAAAATGGATGGGAGCCCCAACGCCAAATACTTCGAGTCCCCGGAAACTTTAAGTTCGCTTGAAGGAGTGAAGAGTTGGCTACAGAAGAACGCGAAAAAGGTTAGTACATTTATGTATTTATTTGTTTATTGTCTAACAGACCCATGTGAGTAACTAGTGCCGTTTAGAGGTGGGCCAACCTGCGATTTTAATGGAGCGGTGACAAGACGTGACTGCTCCAGTCGTGTCACTGACAAATAGCAGTGATTTTTTGGAGCAGTTTTCTCTTTGTCGGCCGTACTGCTAATATTATGTTAATGCTACATCGCAAAATGGCATAGTTGCAGTCCGCATTCACGGCTGAGAGAGATGCTCCACTTTCCAGCCCTCTGCAGTAGCAGTTTCCATTTGGCGTGACGATGCGATTTATAATATTATTATTTCATTTATATCACTTAGCTCGAGTGGCAGTGACAAAATGTCACTGCTACTTGACTGGGACTGGAGCAGGTCGTGACTGTGACAGACAAGTAGCAGTGACAAAGTCACAGTTCATGAAATCGCAACCCACCTCTAGTGCCGTTGGAAAGTAGCACTTTACCATCTAGTGTGCGGTGGCTGGTGAAGTAGACTGCAATGTGTGCAGTACAGTAGACTTTGAGAAAATCCCATCCTTTTTAGAAATTTCAATCTTATGTTTTTTTTGGAGATGTGGGTAGGCAAAATTGTAAACATAACATATGCAGAAAGTGGCTTTTCTGCCCTTCTGCCGTTGCATGCGGTAAAGTATCACTTTCCGCATTTCTTAGGTAAATAACTATTTCTGCACTAATATTTGTTCCTATATACTTACACCCTACACCTACCAGTTTTACATAGATATTTTACTTGATATTTTACTTTTCCCTAATCCCACTTTTAATCTGGCCGTTTAAAAGTAAACACCAGTAAATTGTTTAATAACTTAATGTGTCTTGGTTGAGGAAAAAATAGTACATATCGCCTCTGTAGAGCCTTATTTTTATAAAATAATAAGTAGCAGATTTGATACTGAAACGTCCGCCAAAAGTGCAAAAATCATCCGAGCCTAATCAAGTATTATAGATAGATAGATAGATAGATTTATTTACGGACAAGCATAGGCGTATCCAGGGGGGGGCTGCCGGGCTGCAGCCCCCCCCCCCCCCAACACAAATCTATACTATAAAGATCTCTATCTGTTACAGAATCCCGCCTCAGGTCCTTTGCACACGCATGTGCAACAACCAAATTTAATATTTCTCCTGTCTATTTACCTGGGCTACCTACCTATAGTAATTTGTTTTTATTTATATCCGTATTTACTTAATTTAGAGCCATTTTTATTTGATTTTGGTAGGTATTGGCACAGCTTGTATTGGTATGAGTTTCTAGCGTATTTCATATAGGTTATGTCGAATAACACGCCTGATAAACATCGCAAGAGAAATCCGGAAAAAAAAGTGTAATTGGTGTAAGAAAAAAGTGGTAAACTCCTCAGATTGCGAAGTTTGTGACTCCAAGTATCATCCAAAGTGTGCGGAGCAAGCAAAAGTAATAAATAACAGGGAGTGGATTGTTGTCAAGAAAGTGAGGTTACTCCAAAACCATTTAAAAACAACATAGGAAATACAGATAATACCTCAGAAATGAATGAATCGAAGATCAAAAACATCTTTGAACAGTGCTTCCAGAAGTCCTTTGGTCCATTTGAGAAAAAAATCGACAAAAAATTGGAGGATTTCGAAAAGTCTATCGAATTCATGTCGAGCTCCTTTGACGAGCAAAAGGCAAAATTTGATGGGATTCTTGTCGAGCTAATAGCACTGAGGAAGGAAAATGGAGACCTCAAGCAGCGACTGAGGCTAATGGAAGGCAAGTTTGAGGACCTTGAAGTCAAGGAAAAGGAGAGAAATATACTTATAGTGGGAGCACAGCTTACTATAACATTCAGCTAGATCACTCGTCGCCCGCTCCGCATGTTTGCCGTTTGGTGAATCTGAAAAATTATAGGCCGACGCTTGCTGTCTCTCTCTCGCCGGAATTAAAAGTCGGGGTCGGATTAAAAATATTTCCATTCTTTAGAGAGTGTCCGAACAGAGTCGTATTATTAATTTGTTTAATGTGTTATAAAATGATTTAATCGACATAATTAAAAATAATTAAAACGGGTAATAATAATGGGAGCTTTACTTTATTTAATAAATTGAACACTTTCTAATAATGTTTAACCTGCCAACCTTTTTAAGAGATAATTATTAATGAGGCTATTATTAAACTTCCGGATTTATTTTACTGGTAGACTTTTCAGAAACTTACTTAACTTAGTTATACTCACAAAAGCATGAAAAAAAAAAACACCAAAAAATACATGTAATAAATATTATTTTTATTCTACATTATATTACAATATGTAGTTGTAATTAACAAAACTATAAAAATGTCTTTGATAATTATGTTGGGCACATATTATTAATCACTACTACTTCTACGTAAATACTAATTCTACGTTTATTCATAAATTGAATCTATTATTGATTTCTCCATATAATAAGTCACACAAGAAAAGAAACTACGCCAATGGTAACACCTCGAAAATCACCAGCATAAGAAATTAATTTTACTTCTGACGGGCGCCTGTGCCGTGTTTTACAGGCCCCGCAACATAAGGTGGCAAAAAGGCAATTTGCGCACCAGACAAAATTCGGAAATGGTAGGGGCGTAAACTGAACTGTAAACCCTACCCTCGGTAAACCGATGGGGAACAGTGGCGTGTAGGTACAATATGATAATTTATTTGTAATGTCAAAATCGTCATACCAATTAGCGACGCCCCTGATAATGGAAAAGGTTTGTATTTTAGCTTTGCCTGGGCCAAGAAAAGGGACCCATCGCTACGCCTACCTGCGCCAGCTCTCGCCACCTTATGTTGCGGGGACTGTACGTCCAAAGGCGGGGCTTAAAACATGCGCGCGAGGTTCGGCGTCAATCGCTCCCGCCAAAAGAGTTACCTAGCTGAATGTTATAGTAAGCTGTGGTGGGAGTCCCAAAGCAAGAAGATCCTGACACAAATAAAATTGTCACGAAAATCCTAGGCGGTATGGAATTAATGGAAATGAATGAAAAAGTAATAGTGGAGAGTTTTAGACTGAAACCAGAGGATGGGCCAATTCTAGTCAAATTTGATAGTGTGCTAACAAAAAAGGAAATAATGAGGAAAATTAAACAAATAAAGGGAACTACACTAAGAAAATGTGGTTTAGAGGGACAAGATAGAAAAATTTACCTTAACGAAGACCTTCCTGTTACCAAGTGAGCTCTATTTAAGAAAAGTAGAGAAATTAAAAGAATTAAAGGATACAGAGCTGCTTTTTGTGCTAATGGCATAATTTATCTGAAGAAAAATGACCACGACCCACCAAAAAAGATCAGAACAGACAATGATATTGCTGAAGAAATTTAATTGTAGTTCCTTATATCGTAGCCAAAAAATCATAGGGCACATTTATGAATACTAACAGTATCTTGGCCAATTACAGAAATTGTGAAACACATGAATGCGATGATTTAGGCAAATTAAATTTTTTTGATAATAGTACCCATGACATTAATATTATCCATGTAAACATTAGAAGTGTCTACCAAAACTTCGACCAATTCCTAGTATTTCCCGAATCAACAGGAAAAAGCTTTGATGTAATAGTGATGTCCGAAACCCATAATGTTTACGACACAGCCAATTTCTCCATCCCAGGCTATAATATTTTTTTTAATGAAAGCACGCTTAATAGATGTGATGGTTGTTTAATGTATATAAAACTTGAGCACTATATTGAAAGCCAACTGTTGGTGGAGAATAATGTTAATATTATAAAAGCAACCCTTTTCAAAAATAATACCACAGTGGACATTCTAGCAACATACAGATGTTTCTCTACAACTAGAAATGAATTCATGTTAAACCTCATTTTTGTAGATGAGCTTAAAAGTATGATCCTAGAATCAACTAAAACCAAGGTTGTATCAAGTAAAAAAAGACGACTAAAACCTTGGATTACCAATGGCCTCTTGGTATCTATTAGAAATAGAGATCGCCTAAAAAAAGAATGTACTATAAATAAAGGCAGCCTAGAACTTATAAATAAATATAAAAAATTTAGAAAAGAACTCTCAAAGCAAATAAAAAAAAGTAAATATTCATATTACAAAGCAAAAGCGGATGAAAACATTAATGACCCAAAAAAAATCTGGAATGTTGTTAGGGAGGCCACTGGTGATCAGGTCTGTCATACAGGGATTAGGAGCATTTATGACTGTGATAATGTAGAACTAACTGATAATAAACAAATAGCTAATGAATTTAACACATATTTTAGTAATATAGGTAGAAAACTGGCAGAGGATATAGAAAAAACTAGTGAGACAAATAGGGAGGAAGCGACACTTAAATCATTTTTTCTAGGGAACGTTACAGATTTTGAAATTGCTAAACATATACAAAGCTTAAAGAATGGGGTAAAAGGGGGGGATGATTGTATTAGCTCTGACATAATAAAAAGGTACTCAAGTGCCATTATCAAGCCTCTTAAACACATAGTAAATGTAATTTTTGACACAGGTATTTTTCCAGAAAGCCTAAAAACATCAGTAGTTATTCCAATTTATAAGCAGGGAGATAGAAAATCAACAAATAATTATAGGCCAATTACACTAATCAGCACAATTGGTAAATTAGTGGAGAAATGTTTCAAACACAAAATGTTAGCATACCTGGAAAAAAATAACCTGCTTCACAGTAACCAATTTGCTTTTAGAGAGAACTCAAGTACAGAAGTTGCACTTTGTAGATTTACCGAGAAAATTTTACATAATCTTGATCAGGGTAGAAAGGTAATTGGGATCTATCTGGATTTGAGAAAGGCATTTGACACTGTGGCACATCACATTCTACTTAGGCGCTTGGATAACATGGGAATAAGAGATAAGAGGTACTCCAAAACAATTTGTTAAATCCTATCTAAATAGGAGAAAACAATGTGCGAGAATATTGGATGACCTGAGTGAAAAACAGGAGGTGGTGTGTGGTGTGCCGCAGGGTACAG